AGTACTCTAAACACGATGATAATGAACCTGTTCCTTATCACCCGATATTCCAATTATACACGAAGTGCTTTCAAAACACTTTCAGCGCTCAGGGGCGAAATATGGTAACCGTGAAGAGGAACTACGAGGCGCGGTGATATGCACTCTTCCGTTGAGAGAAAGTCGGACTTATTGACTGCACCACAAGTTGGTGAAAGTTATTTGCACGTATATCAATACTGGTCGGAGCTGGTTGGTTCCCCTGGGATCTGGACTTGAATTACCGGCAGTCCAATTTGAAACCGAGCGTGTGCCGGTAGTGCACATAAGCATGCGCGCGCATAAATGCATCTGCCCTCCAGCCAACAAATGACCTGTAAGATCATGTGATGCTATGTCGGTACTCCTTCTCGAGTGTGATTATCCAGCACCAGACGCAGGTTGCCTGATGATTGTGTAATCAAGCTGTTAAACAGGCTGTGCTGGTTGATTGAAGCACGTGGTAGAATATTTGAGCACAGCAAACAGACCTGGTTTGAGTGGGCTGACTGCGACGTTGCGCTTAACCCGTATCCAGTACGGTGTACAAGCCCTATGTAACGAGGTCGGGCTGTTTTTCGTCAGGATATTTTTACTTTCGCTGGTTGACCTAATTCACTCTGCTACAAAATGGTACTTCGTGATTCAGTCAAATACGTAGTAGCAAAGACCTGCTGTTCAGTGTTAAAAGCCGGATGTCTAAGCCCCGGAACTTGGAGTGGCGAACCACGTAACGCTCCTCTATCACCAAATTTGGGTGGCGGTGGCTGGGTTTGAACCACGACACCATTGGATCCACAGTACACCGGTGACAGCGACTAAACCAGTGCACCACCACACAGTCAATCGGGCAAGCTGTGTCTGGTGGTGAGTTATCTCACTGGACAGGGGGAAGCCACTAAGCATCACACGATTGTGAAAGTCTCAAATATAAAACAAGAGATGTTGACATCTGTGTGCAAGGTGGATGATGATCCAGCAATACCTATTTAGCTATTTTAATTAGCATTGTCCTGAGCGAAACACGGATTCGTTTGAAAAAATTCGCGTTTTCAAAGTTTCTGCTGCAAATCAAACCACTGATGGTTGGTTATCTATAAAAAGTAAAGTAGTTATGTTACTTTCTACACTTGATAGGAGCCTCATCGTAAACGTGAAACGACGTAAAAACGCTCCCGTTTTTCTTTCTGTGACGGAACCAAATTGGGCGTTAACGCAGTAAATTCTTGTTGATTTGAGCTGACTATCCTTCGGACTCTCATCGTCACACACAGTCCTCAGTTCTTCCAGTCAACCGTGCACTCGTGGAAGCACTAGACTTGAGTTTCGCTCTTATTAGAGCTCATCACTCGTGCATACCCATCGGGTTTTGAGCTTCGGACCCATCACATAGAAGCCATATTTGTGTGTTACCACTGTGGAGTGAATGCTATGATGAAAAATACAGTTCGTGATCCTCACCTCGATGATGGACTAAAGCAGCCCGGACAAAGCAGCTGGATGTTCACATTCCGAAACTCGTTTTTTTACATACAACCCTGGAGGAGGAACTTAACGCAAAGCAGTTGATTGCGATACCCACAAACTAAAAGACGCCATTAATTCTTTTTCGTTCTGTTCCGATCTAGTCTTGTTACAATTGCCCTCACATGCCACGTGCTTACTAAATCTAGTGGACAAGCCTGTGGCCCGAAACGATTCAAGCTTGTGTAGGGACTGTTTGTGCAACGTGTTACTTACATTCATCAAAGAAAATACTTATCTCGTTTTGCAGCAGATTGATCATATATCATATGGTGACACAACTGCATACCGAATAAATTCACTTTCAGCTAGGTATACGCATGTGCCAACCTGTGTTGTTCCATTTGGATGAAACATTAGACGAACACATTAAAGTTGAAAGTAGAGTCGAAAAGAGTAAATGAAGAATTTCAGTGAACTAAGGTTGCAACGAAATTGCGAAGATGCACAAACACCACTGTTTACGATACTCAACCATATCACTCAGTGTCTCTAACCATTGATTACAATGATCCCGATACAGGAAGCCTAACGATACTCATATGATGGAGTCTCGTGGTTAGGGTTTTCATACCCTCGTGCCACATCGTAATTTGTGTACTGTCCGTGAAACCGCCATTCTCACATTATATATATATATATAT